ACTCCATCAACAACTGAGAACCTGCTCACCTCAGACACCATGACCAACTGTGACCTACTCACTGGGACAACTCCATGATCTGAGAACTTCCTCACCAGAAGTATAACATAAGCAACTGAGACCTAGTCACCTGGGATGACTCCATGAACAACTGAGAGAGAACCTGCTCACCGGGTACTATACCATGACCAACTGAGACCTACTCACGTGGAACAACTCTACAAATGAGAATCTGTTCACCTCACACACCATGGCCAACTCAGACCTACTTACCTGAGGCAATTCCATGACCAACCGAGACCTATTCACCTGGAACAACTCCATGACCAACCGAGACCTACTCACCTGGAACAACTCCACAACCAAGAATCTGCTCACCTCACACACTATGACCAACTCAGACCTACTTACCTGAGGCAACTCCATGACCAACTGAGACCTATTCACCTGGGACAACTCCATTGACAACTGAGAACCTCCTCACCAGAGTGTATACACTGGCCAAATGAAACCTCCTCACCTGGACCAACTCCACGACCAACTGAGACCTACTCACCTGGGATGACTCTATGAACAACTGCGAACCAGCTCACTGGAATGACTCCATGACCAACTGAGACCTACTCACCTGGAACAACTCCACAACCGAGAATCTGCTCACCTCACACAAAATGACTAACTCAGACCTACTCACCTGGACGACTCCATGGCCAACTCAGACCTACTTGCCTGAGACAACTCCATGACCAACTGAGACCTATTCACCTGGGACGACTCCACGGACAACTGAGAACCTCCTCACCAAAGAGTATATACCCTGACAAACTGAGACCTACTCACCTGGAACACCTCCACGACCAACTGAGACCTACTCACCTGGGATGACTCTATGAACAACTGAGAAACAGCTCACTGGAAGGACTCCATGACCAACTGAGAAGCTGCTCACCGGGGAGTATACCATTACCAGTTGAGACCTACTCACCCAGAAGAACTTCATGACCAACTGAGACCAACTCACCTGGAATGACACCATGACCAACTGAGAATCTACTCACCTCATACACCAGGACCAACTCACCTGGGAAGACTCCATGGCCAACTCAGACCTACTTACCTGAGACAATTCCATGACCAATTGAGACCTACTCACCTGGAACAACTCCACGACCAACTGAGACCTACTCACCTGGGATGACTCTGAACAACAGAGAACCAGCTCACTGGAATGACTCCATGACCAACTGAGACCTACTCCCCTGGAACAACTCCACAACCAAGAATCTGCTCACCTCATACACCAGGACCAACTCACCTGGGAAGACTCCATGGCCAACTCAGACCTACTTACCTGAGACAATTCCATGACCAACTGAGACCTATTCACTTGGGACGACTCTATGGACAACTGAGAATCTCCTCACCAGAGTACACCCTGACCAACTGAGACCACATCACCTGAACAACTCAATGACCAACTGAGAAGCTAACCGGGAGTATACCATTACCAATTGAGACCTACTTACCTTGAACAACTCCATGAACACCTGAGACCTACCCACCTGGCACAACTCCATGGACAACTGAGAACCTCATCGGGCAGTATACCCTGACCAACTGAGACCAACTCACCTGGAACAACTCCATGACTGACTGAGAACCTGCTCACCTCAGACACCATGACCAACTGTGACCTACTCACCTGGAACAACTCCACAACCAACTGAAACCCACTCACCTGGGATGACTCTATGAACTGAGAACCAGCTCACTGGAATGACTCCATGACCAACTGAGACCTACTCACCTGGAACAACTCCACAACCAAGAATCTACTCACCTCACACACCAGGACCAACTCAGACCTACTTACCTGAGACAACTCCATGACCAACTGACACCTACTCACCTGGGACGAATCCATGACCAAATGAGACCTACTCACCTGAGACAACATTACAACTGAGACCTGTTCATCTGGAACCACTCCTTGAGTTACTAAACTTGATCACCTGGTTGACATCACAACTAAGATGTTTTACCTAAGACACCATGACCAACTGAGGCTTACTCACCTGGGAACTCAATGACCAATCCTGCTCACTTGAGAAGACATCATGGCCAACTGAGATCTACTATCATAACTGAAACTGTTCACCTGGATGATACAACTACTAAGACCTGCTCACCTGGGACAACTCCATGACCAACTGAGAGTTACTCACCTGGGATGACTCCATGACCAACTGAGAGTTACTCACCTGGGACAACTCCGTGACCAACTGAGAGTTACTCACCTGGGATGACTCCATGACCAAATGAGAACCTGCTCACCTGGGATGATTCTATGAATAAAACCTGCTCACCTGAGAGAAATAACTGAGACATGCTAACCAGAGACCACGGCATGACCAACTAAAACGTGCTCATATGGAAAAACAGCATGACAGACTAAAACCGCCTCACGTGGACGATACCAACAGTGTCTAAAACCTGCTCTCCTGAGATAATACCATCACCAACTGAACTTATTCACTTGACCAACAGAGTACTCAACCTGGGACAACTCCATGACCTACGGAGACCCTCCTTACATGGATGACTCCAGATCCAACCAAGAAATTTCTCACCCGAGAGGGCACTATGACTGAGACCAGCTCACCCAAGATCATTCCGTGACTAAAACTTGCTCATCTGGACGATTCCATGACCAACTGAGAGCTACTCACTTGGGAGACTCCATGCCTAACTGAAAACCTGCTCACCTCAGACACTATAACCAACTGTGATCTACTTACCTAGAAGGACTTCGTGATCAACTGAGACCTATTCACCTGGGAGGACTCCAGGACCCTAACTTACTCACCTGATGACTCCATGACCAAGTGAGACCTACTCAACTGGGATGACTCCATGAACAACTGAGAAACTGCGCACCTCAGACACCATGACCAACTGTGATCTACTCAACTAGGATGACACTAAGACCAACTGAGAACCTGCTCACCTGGGACAACTCCATGACCAACTGAGACCTACTCACCTGGGAGGACTCCATGACTAACTCAGACCTGCTTACCTGGGACAACTGCATGACCAACTCGGACCTACTCACCTGGGAATATATCATGACCAACTAACACCTACTCACCTGGAACGACTCCACAAGCGAGAATCTGCTCACCTCAGACGCCATGACCAACTGACACCTACTCACCTGGGATGGCTCCATGACTGAAAACCTGCTCACCTCAGACACCATCATCACCTGAGACCTAGTGTGACTTCATGACCAACTGAGAACCTGCTCACCTGGGACGACACTATGACTAAGACCTGCTCACCTGGATGACTCCAGGACTGACTTTAGCACTGCTTACCTGGGATGCCGTGACTGACTATGAAGATGAGGTATGGACCATCCTCTTTGACGCCCACACAAGGTGTCATCAAAGGGGAAGGCTACTCTGAACTAGAATCGGGTTTGGGGACATCAGATCATGAACAAGGAGTCACGGGTATCTGCCATCTCTTCAGGGCCTACGGCTGAACTCATTTCCAATAAGGAAGTTCTGGGCTTAACAGTTGAGAACATCGACCAAGGGAAGTAAAGTATACTTTCAGAAGACACAGGATGTTGTCTACGCTGGAGGACTTCGGACTCAGTCAAACGTATGCAGATGCAGGAAGCAAAAGGACAAGGGAAGGCATATTGAGAAACGGGACATGTCAGTACTCTGAGGGACAAAGCAAGTCTATCGCTACTGTTAAATCACCGAGTGGAGATCTCAGAGCCTCCAACAACCCTGGGACATGGGTGAGAGGTGGGGTTTCACGTGTAGTGTTTAAAAGGTAGGTTTCCAGCAATTTCCAAACCTGCTCTCAATTTGTGATTGCTACTTCCTACTCCCGCATTCACAGATGAGGTTCCATAGTGAAGTTACAAACACAGGCAGGAAGCTCTACGAATGGGGGAATTGGGACATGCAGAACTTGCCGGGAAAAACTATCAAATTCTCCAAGTTTGTGAGAGTCATGAAACTTCGATGCACCAATGCACGGTGAGTTTGGTGAAGGAAAGTGCCCAGGAGCTGACCCAATCCTGCTGTCAGCAGCAGCATCATTGAACAGTACCTGGGGGAAAGTACAACAGCGATTGTTGTAGGCAGGTACACAGAAAGCGTCACTTTTACTACTGAAATGCAGAAAGCACCTCCTCCCAATGCAGAACTGAAGGTGGCTGGGGGGATGAGAGTCTCTCAGAAATTCTAGAGCTGGAGCCTGTGGCTTTCTCCCACCCAGGACTGCACACGCCAGCCCCTCTGAAGGGCCAGTGAAGCCACACAGCCCCCAGCACTAGCCCCCCAGTCATTCAGTGGGATTTGCAAAACCCGTCTCAAAACTCTCATCTTCCTCAAAATACATTCTCCCTATTATGACGTTCAAGAGACAGCTTACTCTCTCTTTAGCAAATCCAGTAGGGATAATTCATTAACAACTTACTTGGAGTCTCGGTGTGGCACTGTAGGATAAGCACTGGACTGCTAACTACAATGTCAGTGGGTCAACCACACCACTTGCTCCTCAGAAACCCTACACAGGGTCTCTGTGAGTCAGAACCAATTCAACAACCTTCAACAACAGCAAGCAACTCACTGTGGTGGGATCTCCTGAGGGGCTGCAAACCCATGCCATAAGACGTTGCGCAGGTTGAGTCCACATGGAGAGCCAACGAACACTTTTAGTACGTCCATCTGATCAAGTTAAAGTAACAAAGTATTACACAATCAAGTCATCTCTGAACAAACCATTATGATACTAAGACACGATGCTCACTCTGCTTTAAGACCCACGGTTTGGGCTGCTACCTAAAAACAGTAAAGCTGACCTGCCTGAGCATTCAACATGAGCACACACATCTGACACACATTCACCAACTCCCGTATCCTCAGAACTGTTAAGTACACAGCCATCATTGTTCCCGCTATGAGCAGAGAAGGGGGCCTGTCAAAGAGCTGTCATTAGGGGCTGGGTCCAGCAGTTCGACTTGAATACCACACTCCAACGTGCCTGGCACATGACTACAATGAATAAAAGTGAAACCAGAAACTCAAGTTGAAGCAGTGTGTGCTTGTGAGGTGGGAACAAGAAGACACATGCCTGGTGCTCAGGCGCTGACCCTCTGCTGGCCCGGGATCAGCTTACGGATGTGGATAACTGGCTCCGGAATAAGAAAGGGCTCACCATTTCTTGAGAAATGCTTCCAGACCCTGGCATCACACTAGACACAGAAAACCCGGGGCTGTGCAGAGACTGTGAGAATGCGAGGCTGTGGAGCTCTAAAGAATTACGTGCTATGGCTCTCCTCGCTGTAACATGCCCACCAAACAACTAGGGGGCACCATGGAAATAAGGTGTGTGGATATTATCGAAGGGATTGGTCAGTTTTTCCATTTCACAAGGTACAAAATGAGCCAATAGAGCAGCAGGAACCTATGGATCTCACAAGTATCAAGAAAGAAGAGCCTCCTTGATCCTTGATCCAGGGGACAGCGCATGACCCAGAGCAGCCACTGAAAGTGAACCAAGTGCCTTTGGCCTGAGGCTACCCTACAGCAGCTTTGTTCCACTGTCTGAGCAGAGGGCAGACACCAAGAAGCCACGTGGCTGAAGGTTCCGGTAGCATGTCAGGGGACAAGTCGGAGAAGAGGTGCTCCTGACCACCCCTGTAGCCTGAGCATTCCTGATCCTGCCAACTTCCCGAACCCACCCAGTAATCATGAGGCTGGTCTGGGGGTTTAGTGTGGCTACTGCAATCAGTTACCAAACGCAGCAGAAAAGCAGTGAGATTAATAAGAAGGTGGGAGGTCATGTCTGACGTCTGCCTCACAGGAATCGGCCTGGGGCTGATGCTGACTTTGTTTCCCCTCCACCTTATGAAGTCAGAGGAGGTCCGCCACTGCTCCCACATCCATTCTACAGAGGCTGGGGAAGGAGAGGAGAGCTGCTGCGGAGAAGACGCAGATGAATTCAGAGTCTCCCCAAGGGGTAAAACGAGCATTTCCACTCCACATAAGAAAAACAATCAGTTCAGATGAGTCCTGGTTAAGCAGTAGGCTGCTAACCACAGGTCAGTGGTTCAAACCCCCCAGCTGCTCCTTGGAAACCCTATATACAGTCACTCTGAGTCGGAACAGACTCAATAGCACTTAACAACAGCTAACCCTATAGGGGGTTGCTATGATGTGACCGCACACAACAACAATCAGTTCACAGAAGCCCTGGGGACACTACTGATTAAGCATCAGGCTGCTAACTCCAGAGTCATTCATTTAAACTCACCAGTCACACCTTGGGAAAGAGATGTCTGCTCCTGTCAAACTCTCCAGCCTTAGAGACACTCTGGGGCAGTTCTACTGACCTACAGGGTCACTAGGAGTCAGAATGCACTCGATGGCAGCTGAACCATCAGGTGTACAACGCCACAGGAAGGCTCTGGACTCACAATGCTTAATACATTGTGCTCATGCCATCTGGGCAACCAGAAAGACAGACACCGGTGGCCAAGCAAAGCCACTGTGGGACTGAAACATGGAATGGTCAAGAGCAAAGAGCACGCCAAGGGCACTGAACATGTGTAAGAATTGAGTGTCTCAACAAAACCTGTGTACCTGACCAGACTCTCTGGTAAAGAAAACGATCTTCCAGGTGCTCAGGGTGAGGAGCCACAGTGGGAAGTGGGGAATGCATCACCAAGGGCAGACTTTTCACTCAAAAAAACTGAGTCCAGTACAGGGCAGACAAAACCTTCTGACAGAGCACCCCCAGGGCACACTCCAAAACTAAAAATGATCAGAGTCTTAGATTTCTTTAGCCCTGAGCCTTCCAGAAGGTTCCAAAAAAGTATGGGCCTCCTTGCAGGTTTTTAACCAGCATCAAAGTTTTTCTATTCACGGTAAGCTTGAACATTTGCAAAGGAGAGACATCACTTCCCACACGTTAAAAATACTCTGCTATTTCAGAATAAAACTATTAATTACCACTGTTAAAACATTTTAAGTTTTATTTTGGACCAATTCAGCTTTCTCGTTATTACTATACAGTTGACCAGAAGGCCCCCTTTCTACAGCGTGTATCCAGGGGAGGTGACGCTCCAAGGAAAGGAGTTCCAATCACTCTTGTAACTCTTACTTCTAAAGCAGTGTCCATGTTGGAGCAACAAACCCCCACTGCCATGGAATCGATTCCGACTCCTAACAACAACACAAGACACGGTACCCTTTCTCCTTCCTACTGTCCTGTGTTGTTATGAGGGCTTCCAAAGCTGTCAATCTTGCTCCTAGAGAGCAGCTGGTGGGCTCGAACCACCGACCTTGAGGTTAGCAACCCAAAAGTACAAGCAATTTCAATGGTTTCATGCTGCGCTTGCTTGGTACAATCTCAGTGAACATGCTTACCACAGGCTTCCCGAAGACTTGAGCCAGTTCATAAGAAGCAAGCAGATCTCTCAGGAGAAAGGGGCAATCCTTCCCAAGCAGCAGAAACACCTAAAATCCACACCAAATTGTTACATAAGCCTCATTACAAGCTGATCATTTAAGGAGAAACATCCATGAAGTGAGTGTGGAGGGAGTGCTTAGAAATACATCATCAAAGAAATATACTAAATTCCTGCATCATCAAATGGTATTTTGTAGGAAAACAATTAAAATCCAGAAATCTAGGTGTAACTGCAAAGTAGTTTAACAGAGAGCGATAAAGCCAGCGAGGGTCCTTACACTTACATCGCCCAGAGCTCGTTCCAGACATGATGTGAGTTTCATTATGCTGAGAGAAACAGCTGTAGACTGAAGACTTTCCAAGGCGTCAAATACTTCAGGAAATAACTGGTACAAGTGAGACGTGTCTTAGAATTTGCACTTAAGACGTATTTGTTCAAGCAACGACATTATTAATTGAAATTCACATCTCTAGCAGTCTCAACTGGCATATCTGCATAAGGCTTTTGGTTTGACACAGGTAGACACCATCTGTGTAACTACCTACATAATAAAAAAATTAAGCTCCAAGTTCCCTGAAATGTCTGTACTTAAGCTGTTATTGAAAGCAATAAATCTGACACTCCCTATTCTGACGCAATGTTATTTATTTCCCACTGTGATTCCGTAGTGCTCCTAAAGAGAGAGGGCAATCTAGGCAGCTCCCCCTTCCACCTCAGAGCTAGTCAAAGGGAGACACAGCTCCCCCACACACCATCTCCACCCCCGCCGAGCTACAGAGGAGAGTCCCAGTGTGTGAGAATCAACTCAGTGTAGTCACTGCTTTACTGACATGGTAAAAAACCACCAGGGAGCACACCGACCAAGACTTAGGCTTGGTCCAACTGGCCTACCCCAAGTGAGCCAAGTGTGCCTGCCTGGATCTCCCAGTTCCAATGTCTCAGGAGCCACCCTCACCCCACCCCCTGCAGAAAGTCGCTGCTTTATTCTGGAGAAGTTAGCTCTTCTTGTCCTCGGACAAGCACCTCAGGACTAAGGCTACTTCCCCGATCCCTAATCCTCTGATGCCACTGGTGTCGCTGGATGCCCCTGAGCAGACTTAGAGTGACACCATGTGACAGCGTGGAGCTGCCCCCTAGGGTAGTCCTGGGTTTGACCTTAACGGAGGAGCTCTTTAGAGACCCTTGTGGGTTCAAATCCCATTTAAGCACTGCATCACCAGAGCATCAGAATGCCTTTTGTTCAAGGGTAGGGGTTTCTTGGCTGAGGCGTAGGAACTATGGAGAATAGTTGAAGCCCTTCAGACTTCACAGCTGGAAGGCCCAGGGAATGAGCCTTTAAAACTACTATCGGCAGTGTCTGAGGCACTCTGAAAGCGTAGTGGTTACGAGTCAGGCTGCTAATCTCAAGGTCAGCAGTTCCAAACTACCAGCTATTCTGCAGAAGATGAGGCCTTCTGCTCCTATAAAGATTTACTGCCTCAGAAACTCTATACAAGGAGCTATGAGTTGGAACCGACTCCATAGCCCATCACCATCACCACCACCTATGGTATCTTTGTTGGAGTCCTGGTGTAACATTGTGGGTTAATGGGCTGGACTGCCAGGTCAGCTTGGTTGGCAGTTCAAGCTCACCAGCTGCTCCTTGAAGACCTTGTACAGGGTCGCTGTGAGTCAGAACCAACTTGACGGCACTTTACCACCACCAGCCACCATACTATGTTACTGATTCCTAAAGGTTGCTGAAAAGCCACACCTCTGGGAAATTTGTCCACTGGAACCACTGCGCATATCGAACTTGAAATTGCTCCTTGGTCAAAGATGAGACGTGCCGATGGACAGTTTCACACAGGGGGCCCAGCAGTCGCACACTTCCCTGGTAATCCAGGCTTTGGTCTTACAGGGTAAGAAAACATCTTTTAGGACCCAGCTATTAACATTTTCTGAAAAAAGGGTTTCAACACGAAACAGTAACATTTCTGTAAAATCCACTATTGACTGATAATTGTACACGTAATATATAATACATTCCTATGTCGTCGGACACACACACAACACAGGAGTATGTTTATCATCTTGAACATGTAATATATGATAAATTCCTTTATAATCGGACATACACACGACAAAGAAGTATATCTGTCATGTATTGAACATGCAACATAATGATAAATACACTTCTATGTCATTGGACACACAATACAGGAGTATACTTATCATATATTGAACATGCCATACATAATACACTCCTGTGTCATTGGGAACATACATACACTCAAAGACAGGAGTGTATCATATATTGATCATGTAATATATAAAAAATAAACACACACACGAGACAGGAGTGTATTTATTATACACTGAACATACAATATATAATTAATATATTCCTGTCTCATTGGAAACACACGAGTGTATTTATCATATACTGAACATGCAATATATAGTATGTCACTGAACACAAACAACAAAGGTGTATGTATCATATATTGAACATGCAATATATAATAGACTCCTATGTCGTTGGACACACCCACACCACGGAGTACAATGATTATATATTGCATGGAGAAGTCCTGTTGTGGCACTGTAGGGTAAACACTGGCCTGCTAGCCACAAGATCAGCAATTTACAAACCCACCAGTCGCTCCTAAGAAACTCTATGCTGCATCACTTTCAGCTGGAACTGACTCAAAGGCACTTAACAACATGTAGTTGGAAATAATTTTCATGTTTATCTGATAAACCACTAGGCACTCTGAGGGAGAAAGATGAGGGTTTCTTCTCCCTTAAAGACTTAAAGTCTTGGAAACGCTAGGGTGGTTATGTGCTGTGGAGTCGGTTCTGATTCACAGCCACCCTGCACAGGGTTTCCAAGGCTGTAAATCTTTACAGAAGCAGAAAGCCTCACCTTTCTCCCACGGAACAGCTGGTAGGAGAGCACAGTGGCTCTGAAGGATAAACACTGGACTACAAACCACAAGGTCAGTGGATCAAGCCACCAGCCCCTCTGCTGGAGAAACATGAAGCTTCGAACCAGCAAATATTTACAGCCTTGGAAACCCTACACATAGGGTTGCTATGAGTCAGGATTGACTTAACGTTACTTAACATAACTACTGTAATGGTTCATTTTAGAAAAATGCTGCTGCATTCATGGTCAAAAAGTAACTTTCAGGATCTAGAATTGTGAAGCCCAACGCTGTCACTGAGAGGATACTGTGCTTATAGCTACAAGGAAGGCCCTTTACTACAAATACGAGGGGCTTCAGAAAGTTCGTGAGAAATGTAAATACAAAATAATGGAATGTTCCACGACCTTTTTGAAGTCTTCTTGTGTTATTCAAATTTAGGTACCAACCACTAACGCCAACGATGAAGAAATCGAAGATTTTTAGCAACTGCTGCAGTCCAACATTGATCAAACATACAATCAAGACACACTGGTAATTCTGGATGATCGGTATTTGAAAGTTGAAAATAAGAAGGATTGTTGGTGTTATTGTTAAGTGCCGTCAAGTAGATTCCAACCCATAGCGATCCTGTATAGGGAGGGTTTCCAAGGAGCATCTGGTGAGTTTGAACCGGTAGGTGTAAAATATGGCCTTGGTTATAAATGATGCCAGAGATCACACAATAGGATTTTGCAAAACCAATGACTTATTTATTGCGAATATATTCTTTCAAACTGGCGTTGGGATCCAGTGCTTATTCTAGGGCCCTATAAAGGTTAGAGTTTACAAAACATTTTGGGGAGACACAATTCAACCTATACCAGTCCCTTTCTTGTTTTGAGCTAAGACTACACTGCAATACCCTAACAAAAACAAAACTGATCAAAGAGATTAGGACACAAAGAAAGTACCAACCTGATCCTGTGTAACTCACACATTCTGTGATTGTTTTCCAGCAAACTTTGCCATTTTCAGTTACAATGCTATCAACATGACAATTTCCTATGGCTTCAAACCCAAGCTTACAAATCATATCATACACAGCGGGAGAAAGACATGTAGTAACAGCATCCGCTATCAATATCTGAAACAAGAAACAGAAAAGACATTTGTTTACCAGGAAAAAAAATAGAAGAATATTACATATTTATGTCATAAGAAAACTCTCTTTTAAATACAAAATATACACAGGAATAGCCAATATAACCCTGCACATTGGGCATCTTGAGAGCCATGTGATCTAATCACTGTGATCGAAGATAAAATGTTTATATAATTTAAATTATTTTACTGACCATAATACTTAAGATTTACTGATCACAATGGTGTTGTTATAAGCCACAGAATCGGTTCTGACCCATAGCGACCCTACCTAGGGTTTCCAGGGAGCAGCTGGTGAGCTTGAACCACCAACCTTTGCAATCTAGTGCTTTAACCCACAGTACCACATCAAGAGTCCTATTCGTCATAATACTTCAGTTTAAAAAAACTCCGTTAAGTCTTATGAATAGCGTATTCTTCTTCCAATACTCCTTTACTCCTCGTCCTGAGGAGCGGGGGAGGCATTCTCCTGGGGCGCTGTCCCTGTGCTAGGAAGATAAGGTCCAATCCTTCCACAAGACATGGATGGTCACCATGAATAGGAACCGCGTGTTTCTTTGTGGGGGAAGGGGGCAGAAAATGAAGTAAAAACCAGACAAAAAGCCGACCTCTGACCCCTTGTGTTATGCAAAAGCAGCAAGCCAGATTGCCTTTCCAAGAACGATTAAATAAAACCCAAATCCTCATCTTTATCCCCACAACATACTAAGATCATCTTGTAAGTCTGCCAAGAAGTCATTTTCCAGGTCAAAAACTCAGAACAAGAGATGCTAATTTTGAGATCGCCTGCTAAAGAGCTAGAAAGATTTCAATCCGCATCCTTCCTTGCTTTAGGTGGCTGGGCTTCCATTTTCTCAACTGCAAAAAGATGAGAAACAGCCCCACCTTCAGGGGAGTCAGCCACAAGAGAGACCCGACAGGCTTCTAGAACCTTCTTAAGTGCTGTCCTGTCAGGTAGGCCTCAGGACTAACCCGGATAGCATTTCCGAGGAGCGGCTGGTGGGTTTGAACCGCCGTCCTCATGGTCTGCAGTGTCCATTAGGTTTGCTAGGAGATTGCCTGAGCTCGACTCGAATGCCGTCCTCACGGGGCCACACTCCAGAACCCACCCGGTCACACCTCACTTTAGAACAAGAGTAACGGAGACGGTCGAGAATTCGGCCCCTCCAGCCACTTCCAGCGAGAGCATTGAAGAAAAGCAGCCTGGGAGTATTCTCAAGTCACCCCAGAATTAGAGTCTGAGCACGGCCGGGCCCGGAAGGCGTGTAAACGAACAAACTCCCCCAACTTTTCCATGGAAGTGTCTCCAGCTCTTCCCTTCCGCGCCCGTGTCCCAGGCTCACTCCTCCCGCCCACTAAGGAGCACCAACGCCCACACCCCTATTACTCGGTGGGCGTCCGCTGAGGGGCTCGGAGGCACAGGCACTACGCTACCCGGCGCCCATCACCCGCTCGATCTACCTCCATGACTGCACCGCCGAGCCGCCTGGGAGCCGAGCGGGTTAGGACTGGGTAGCTAACCGCTGGGTCAGCAGTGTGAAGCCACCAGTCGCTCCGTGGGAAAAGATGACGCCGTCTACTTCGATGAAAGCGAAACCAAACAGGCTCGCCACGAGTCGGAAGTACGTAAGGCACACGCCACGAAATAGCCGGCGCGTGCTGATGACGCGCGCCTCTGCCGCCCCGCCCTCCTGGCCCCCGCCGTACTGCCAGCCGTCGCCCTCTCAATCGCCTTCTCAGGTGGATGACGCAAGCCATCGCGCCTCCTTCTCCGCTGCCCAGCGCTCCTCGGCCTCTCCGGCGCAGATGGATGACGTAGTCTCCCCCCCCTTCCCCCGTCCGGCCGTTTTCGTAACTGGACAGTTCAGCTTTAGCTGAGACTGGCGGGACAGTGGGCTGCGACCTGGAGAGGAGCTCAGGATGGAAAAGCGAGGCCGAATTCCAAAGACGCCGGTGGGCCAGACCTCTCCCGCGCCCCTTGAGACGCCTCGGAAAGAGAGGAGGCCGAGCATGTTCGAGAAAGAGGCAGTGAGTGCGGGGTCCCGGGACGGAGAGTTTCCAAGCGGGGCCCGGCCGAGCGGTCAGCACCCGGTTTAGACGAGGCTAGGGTTGGAGCCCAGCTGTGGCGCTGCAGCTAAGCCCTGGACTGCTAACCGCAAGGCCAGCAGTTCGAACCCGCCAGCCGTTCCTCGGAAACCCTATACAAACTCGCTGTGATTCCGAGCCGTGGGGTCGGTTCCAAGGAGCAGCTGGTGAGTTTGAACCGCCGACTTTGCAGTGCAGGACTTTATTTCCCAGCGCCGCGCCGGCTGTTCTGGGGCACTTCGCTTTGCGCGTGAGACGCCTGCGCGGAGACCACACTCGGGAAGGGAAGGGTGTGTGTCAGCGGAGGTCTGCTCACCGTCCTTCTTTCGTCTGTATGCGGCGCAATTAACCCGAGAGGATGGACTATGGAAGAACAATGGGGCACCAGCATCCGAGGACAGTATGTAGACCATGCAGCCTTGCTTACTGAAAGAGAAGAGGACCTAAAATACTTACTGATGATCAGAGACCACAGCCTTCTGTATGGATTGCACCTCAGTGTCAAAAAACAAAAACCCTCACCACTGGGCCAAATGATAGATTGAAGTTGTCAAAGACATCATTTTGCTTGGATCAACTATCAACTCATGGAAGCCGCAGTGGAGAAATCAAACGACGTATTGCACTGGGCAAATCTGCTGCACAAGGCCTCTTTAAAGTGTTCAAGAGCAAAGATGTCAGTTTGAGGACTAAGGTGCCCCTGACCCAGGCCATGGTATTTTCAGTAGCCTCACATGCATATGAGAGTTGGACCATGAATAAGGAAGACCAAAGAAGAATTGATGCTTTTAAATTACGGGCTTGGAAAAGTATTCAAAACATTGTGTATACAGACAGGCAACTTAGACATTGGCTACCTAAAATGGAGTGGGGGCAGTGGGTGGGCTGTAAAGGCACGAAGTGTCTGGCTTACAAGTTTTCAAGAAGGTTGAATCCCCACTGAATTCGTTTTCATCTGGTCTAGATGGATCTGTTGAAAGGAAATGGGGATAAGATTATGATTCAATAGTGAATAATTGTTATGACTAATTGCACAACAGTAAAGGTAGAAGTTTTGTAACAAAAGGGGGAGTCGTTAATCTTGTGGGCTGAAAACAGAGGTCCCTAGGACCATCAAGGGAGAAGCAGCAACACCAGAGATGAGGACTCGAGACTCAAGAAAAGAGAGGGACTGAGTGCTGGCGGCCAGCAGGCAGACTTGCAGAATGTGTCCTTTGGTTGTTTAAAATACTGTGTTTTCCTGAGTGTTTTTGTTTACATCCACACACACACACACACACACACACACACACAAAAACGGGAATAGAAGCAAATCCTGTTGAATGATGCTGCACAGAGGAGATTGTAATCACTGTAATGAAACAATGAGTGTAAAACCGATGTCCTCCCACGGACACTGTCACTCAATTTGTCGCAGTAACAAACAAATCTGTCTTGAAAGAAGTATAGCCAGAATGTTCTTTAGAAGCCAGGATGGCATGGTTCATCTCTCACACTTCAGACAAGTTACCAGTTGGGACCAGTTCCTGCAGAAGGACATAATGCTTGGTAAGATGTCAGGTCACCAAAAAAGAGGAAGACAACTCCCCTGCTCCTCCCTGAAAAGCTGGATTGATAGTGGCAGTGACAATGGGCTCAGCCGGAACGATTGTGAAGATGGTTCAGGAGCAGGTGGTGGTCTCCTCTGTGGAACGTCAGGTCAGAGCCGACTGTGTGGCCCCTAATAACTGCCTTACCTGAGGTGTGCGGCTGGCTCTACATCTGTTCAGATGGGCTCACCTTACTCGTTTCCTCTTAGAAGTATCGAGTGACCTACCCACATGGTGCTGTACGATAAGCTCTGTACTGCAAGGCCAGTTCGGCAGTTCAAACTCACCATCCACTCCTTAGATAGCCTATATACAGAGTTGCTGAGTCAGAACTGAATCGAAGGTACTTAACATTAACAACTCCCCAGATGTAGTTTGAATAGCCATAAAGATGGCGCTTCCTTTATTTTTTTAAGTCTGGCAAGCAGCAGCAAGTTTATTACTTGAAGAATACTGTATAAGGGAGAAAGACATGAAACTAAAACTCTTCTCGCCATTAGCATGTTTTCTAAAATGGATGGAAAGTGTCTTTCTTCAACTTTATTGGTGATATAGCACCAGTATTTCTATCATCGGTATTGAGTGCTCATTCCTGGGCTTAGAAATGTATAGACAGGTGGTTCCCAACTTACAGTGGAGTTCTGTTCCATTATAAGTTGGATCGGATGTAAGTTGAATGCCTCATCGGCCTTTTTTTTAAAGTTTTCATTATTGCTCTCTACTATCAATGTCTTTCTAACTCTGGCAGTGTTTTGAGCAGTAAGTCATAAGATTGAACATTTGAGAAATGATCACATCAGTAGATCACATGCTGCAATATATTGCTAATGAAAGATGAAAATCGAAAAAAAAGCCGAAAGTGAGGTTTATCTCAGCTCAGATATGCCATAGTTGGTGACTACCTGTACATTATCTAACTCGAATTGCAGTTTTTATAGAAGGAAGGAAAAATGAATAGGCCAGATGTACACAACCAAGGAAAAGAGCAGAGTACGGCTAGACCCCTACAGTAAATTGGTTGGAAATTCAAATTTAATGCTCCCAAAGACTACGCTGTATTGCCTGGCTATATAAGTGGCTAGCGGGCACACCCCCCAGTAATGAAAAATTCTGTGTTTTCTGACAAGCTTGCCACTTACAATCTGTATTAGAGCCCCTTGGGGTCTGAAGCACTGGATTGTGGGAAAGTTGGACTCCAGTCGACCAGTCGCCTTTTGTGCAACCCCCGCTTGTCTGTCAGACAGGTTTCCCTTTATAACCTGTATTAGTGCCCCGTTAGGGTCTGAAGGACTGGGGCTCAGTGGCGGTATTTCCGCCTGGACTGTAGAAGATCTGGGTTCCATTCCTGACCTTATGCGCCATCCCACTTGCCTGTCAGAGGGGCCTTGTGTGCTGCTATTATGCTGAACTGGTTTCAGTAGAACTTTCAGACCCAAATAGATGAAAAAGAAAGACCTGGTGATCGTACAAAAATGAGCTGATGCAAAGTAGTTATAAATCACTGTAGTCCGAGCCTCAGCCCATCCTGGGGCTGGTGTAGGACCACATTCCATGGTGCACAGGGCTGCTGTGAGTGAGCATGAGCCAACTGACACGTACACTTAGTATGTGGAGTGGCGTCTGAGAGTGAGGGGGTTCAGGTCATGGCAGTTTTTGTTTACTTGGTATGGCTTGTGATCCATTCTGCTATTGTTGTTGTTGTGAAGTGCTGTCGAGTCAATTCCAACCCATAGCAACCCTATATGGGGTTTCCAAGGAGCAGCTGGTGAGCTTGACCTACCAACCTTGCCGTTCAAATGGCTTTGCAGTCTGGCGTGAGTCAATTTGTTTCCATCTTAGTGATCTCAAGTGCCAAGAAACAGTGCCCAGTCCTGCACTATCCTCACAGTTGTGTCTAGTTTTGAGAGTCTGTGGTATCAGTCCATTTCATTGAGGGTCTTTCCTTTTCTATCAGGGACTTGTCCCTCCTGATAACACGCCCGCAGTGATGATGATGTACCATTAAGTTAGTTCTGGCTCATACTGACCCTCTATAAGGTTTCCGAGGCTGGAAATCTTTATGGGAACAGAACACTTTCTCCCACAGAGGACTGACCTTGTGGTTAGCTCAATACCTAAACACTACAATACCAGGGCTGTGTGAGACAGTCCTGCCATCCTCACTTCTAAGGAGTATTCTAATTGTACTTCTTCCAAGACAGACCAGTCAGCTGTCTTTAAAACCTGGTATTCGGTTTCTGTAAGAGCCATTGAGTCCATTTTGACTGAGCAACCCTGTGTAGAATTTCCAAGGAGCGGCTGGTAGTTTTGAACTGCCAGCCTTGAGGTGAGTGGTTCAGTGCTTGTCGTACAGTTCCACACCAGGACTCCAATTAAATCTGTAAAGCCAAAAACCTAGGGAGAAACTGGGAGAGGTATCAATAATCTCTAATTCTACGAGATGGATTAACATGGTGACCACAAGAGACCAACCAGGCAGTGTTTCCTTCTCTTGTCCTCAAGGTCGCTGTGAGGCAGAACCAACTCAATGGCACCTAACAACACACTCACTCAATGGATCAAATGAATTATTCCTGACTCTCAGCTGATGCGTGCCATAGTCCTGAGCATAAGGGGAAAAGAAGACATCGGTATGATGACTCTCCGATTTTGTTTGTCCTGCATCCATTTATTTTTCTTCTAGTAGTAGGACCTCCATTTTGCTAGGGAGAACGAACTCGTGCCTCCCAGGATGGAGCTGTCTAGAAGCAGCTACTCACTGTCCTTTGTGGTAAGAATGAAATCTGAGTCACCGTAAAGGAGCTAGCTCTTCCTGAAACTCTGATGTGGTGAGACTTATCCAGAGGAAGGATGGGCACCAAAGGGTCTCAGGAGGCCTTGTACTTCCATCACTCCCCAATTCTGCTAGCTGCTTCGTAGCTTCCCAATAAAGCACATGTTTGCTTACGTTAACAAGAATTGATCCATATCTACTGATTGTAACCAAAGATCACAAGTCCCTAAGCTGATGATCAAAATGGAACCCTTGATTAGTTTCAGTTGTGAACATATGATTTAAAATCTTAAACAATAGCAATTAGCATTTTAAAATAAAATTTGTAATAATACGATCAAGTTTGGTTTATTGTAGGAATATGTTGGATCAACCTAAGGAAATAATTAGCTAATGAAACTGGTTGTTTTAGTAGATGCCTAAAGGTTTATTATATTTAAAAACAATTCCTAAATTTTAGAAATGGCTACAAAGCGTCTTCCTTAATCAAATACTAAATCAGGAGGCCGATACTAAGAAGAAGTGGTTTAGGGGTGATTTTTCAGCATACCAGAATTTCATAAGATCAGTTTCTAACCACA